TTTTTCCTTTAACTAAAATTTCTGCTTCTTCTCTAAAACTTGAGCAAATATTTAAAATAAGCTGCTCTTCAATATTTAAAATTGATTTATCTCTAAATAATCTTTCACATTCTTCAATAAATTTATCTATTGTTTAAAAATTTCCATCGTATTGATGATTTAAAATTTTCTCTAATGCAAGTTTTTGCATGAAAAATTGAATATTTTGTGTCTCCATAATTAATTAATTCTGATTTTTATTCTGACCAAAAAAATTTTGACCAAACTTATATTTGATGGATACGTTAAATATGATTTGTAATAATTAAGAGGAAAGTCATGGCCCTAACAAATATACATATTAGTTATATAATAGATGACAATAAATTGGTCGGACACGACAATACAAACGGATATTTGTACGTGATTATTTAGAATAACTTGTGGAATATTCCGAACGACGGTTACACATTAAATCGTATAGTTGCGTCTATTGCATCACCACTTAACAGTCTTCTTCCGCCCCTAAATATTTGGGTAGGATCATAAAACTTAGATAAAGAAACACTAGTATATTCCACAAGCTTAAAACTGATTTCCTTACCTCCCACACATTCCCTTTTTGAAATGAACACATTTTTGTATTATATAAGTAAGTCTTAGCCAAGGGGTCGAACTGAGAAGTTGGTCTTACTTGGAGAGTCCAAGCAAGAGCACTTACTTCATAAACACTATCTTAAGAGGAGAATGTAACTCTTAGTTAATAATACCTGAGATCATCTATTGTTTAGTTGACTTCTCAATAAAACTCCGATGTATACAATAAAGTTAATTAAGAATATTGCATTTAATATTCATAAACCCCTCTAAGACTCCGCAACGACGTAACTACGAGATAATCCACGGTGTCCAAGGATTTCTTAACCCCGGGACACGACATATAAAAATGGTGGCAGCGGTAATCGAACTCTCAGCGTGACTAAGCACCGTCGTAATGTCGTGTCCCGGGATGGAATATCTCTGGACACTGTGGAATAATTTGTTGTATTGTCGATGTGGAGTCCTAGTGGATTTTATGGAAGAGACTAGATTAAAGTCAGTGTATTAATGTATTTATTTAACACTTAGATGCTGGTGATTCTTAATCTAGCTTCCAGTTGCTTTAAACATAGGTTGCTGGTCGAGTGTAGAGTCAAACTAGAACTAACTTAAAATAACATAAGTGTCGTCTAATACGTAAGAAGACATCTTGAATACAGAATAATATTTTAAGGGTAGGGGTTAATTTTCCATGTGGCCCCTATGGGGATTTGTTTATGTCTCCCGCTGTCAATAAGGTCTAAAGGGTGATAATTCTTACAATTGTTTGGGGAGGTTAATTTTGGGCGGCATAGTTTTTATAGTTAGCTGCCCGATTTTCACAAAGTGCCCCTTTCAAGAGGGTGACACAAATGGGTCGTAAAACTAACAAAATATGAGAAACAGAGCGTTTCTCCAAAACGGTTTTATTATTCTAAGCGGATGTTTCAAGTGCCGATAGGCTTGTTTATATCAATAATTAATAATAAAGTGGTTGGCCACAACAGTAAGTCAACTTTAGTGACCAGGATTGAAGCCAAATCACCAGGAATCAACTCCAGGCGACAGAGCGGCCGTGTTACACAACCTTGGTCGAAGCCTACAACAAACGATTCAACCCAAGTTAATAGGCTGGCCAAAGGGACAAACTTCTATTATTAGTTATATTAAATTAGGTTAAAGTACGATAAAGTAGAATGTTATTATTGATTATTTAAAACAAGTTGGGTTAAAGCAGTGGTTCCCAAACTTATTTGGCTTACCGCCCCCTTTCCAGAAAAAATATTGTTCAGCGCAGCTCTTTTTTAATTTTAACCCTTTCCAGCCCAAAAAAATGTTTTATTCACATCTTACTTACTTAAACATCTTACCTGTTTTTTTCATTATTCAATATTACCTACTGTTAAAAATCCATCTAGCTTCAATTTACATTAGTTGCTTCCAACAGTTTTAATCGTCGAAAGACAAAATTGTATTTAAAAATTAATGATTACAATTGGAATGCAAATGCTTCTGTCACCATCACCACTGGATCGCTGCAGGTCCTACCAGGGGGCGGAAGCGCCCACTTCGACAATCACTGGGTTAAAGAATGACAACATTTCTTATATGTGTGCATTTTTCCATTTTATTTAATTTCTTATATTCTAAACATATATTCAAAAACCCTACATGATAAGAAAACGCAAAATGTCATTTCAAAAGAAATAGTTAAAATAACACACGTAAATGATAATAAATTGATATAAAGGAGAAAAGAAATATACAAATATATGATAACAGAACAATGGAAAAAAAAATTATAATAATTATAGAAACAAAATTCGAATCATGTCGTCCTCAAATTAATTTAAATAAAACCCCTACTGATGATTTTCGTTCCTCCCTTAATCTTCATAAACTATACGAAGAATTCGGGATAATCAAATATATAGATCTAGTGACGTTCTAAGGAGATAGTAAGAAAATAAATACTAAACATTATTAGTAAATTAATATTTCAGGGGGGGGGATAGATGATGTCAACGCCTATCTGGATTCTGGTTTGTTCTTCGGAGGCTTAAACATTTTCATCTTTTTCGTGGCTTTCGGCTTTTTCGATGACGACGAGCCGGCCTTGAATGTCTGCCAACTCTCGACGCGATTCTGCCTCGACTCCTACAACAGAAATAGAAAACGTCCGACCGTTTGTTATTCAATTACGTTCACAAAACGCCGTTGAAGCAAAAAAAGAAAAGAAAACAAGAGTACTTTGATAATGGGAATGATTGTCTCACCTCGAAATTCTTTTGCCATTCTTTCTGCGCTTTATCATTTTCCTCTTCCTCGATTTCCTGTTCGCGTTTGCGTTTCCGCTCTTCCTGGTCCCTTTCGGCTAGTTCACGCCTCTTTCTCTCCATATCTGCAAAAAGTTTCATTGTAAGAACATATACCGCATGTTTGTACTTTTCGGGATCGTCCTCAGGGATTCCATCTTTGCCCTCTTTTTTCGCTTTCTTTCGCTTCTCAGCCAGCTACAAGCACATTAGTATTACAAAATAAATAACGCCGAAATTATTAAATATATATATATATGTATATAGTATAGTCATTCACAACAATATCCATATTAACCGAACAGTGTAAACGCGAAAGCGGCGAATACTTACCATAAGGTCAGTTCGTCCTTTTGCTTCTTCCACAATGTCCATGCACTTTTGCCTGGTTTCATCACTCTCCAAAGTCTTCCAGGCTCTGTTAATAATTTCAAAGGCCTGCTGGGCCCTATCAGAATCATCCTGATTCTTATCAGGATGCACAAGGATTGAGTACTTTCTATATGTCTTCTTAATGGTGTCTATGGGAGCTTCGGGTTCAACTTGAAGCACCTCAAATGGATTTAAATTAAAGTATGTCGATCCAGGTCTGAGCAGTCTATCAATCTGTTGCTTTGGGGTCAAAACTGAATCCCTCTTCTCAATCTCCTTAACCTGGAAAATAAATGAAAATACAAGATTAACAACTTTTTATCATGGCTAAAGGATGCAATTGTTGTTGTAGCCAAACAACAACAAAAACAAACATCACTTTTCGTGGAAATCTATTGGAACATCAGTTAGTCGCATCTGTAATAAATCAACTTACTTCAGTATAAAACTCGTTAAATTCCTCCTCTTTCTTTGCCATTTTATCTACTGATTAAACAATATTTATTTACTTAACTCGACAAGTATTCTAACCTAAATATTATGGTTTTCATTGACATCGTAACAATCACCAGTAGATGGCAGCAGTTATCTAGATCATCAAGTTAACAAAAAAATACAAATTATTATAAACTTATAAATCTTCACTTTAAGTTCTACTTGTAACTATGAAAATTTGTGAATTATCTAAAATAGAATCAACAAGGATATGTAACCAAAAAAGCACAAGAATTTAAATTTTCACCTGTGGTAAATATGCCACCAAATGTACAGGAACACTTCTATAAGATTCATATACTGCTACATGTAGCTAAATGTAGGAGCGTTCTCTCAGATGAGAGCTTAGTACGAAGAAGAAGAATGAATGCGAATTACTATTCCCAAATATAAAACTTTTAAATTCATTCTACCATGCATAAATTTTTGATTTCTTTGAACGCGAATTATAGTCAAATGGATGAAACCACAGTAATCTATGAATACTTGCAGCACTCCTCAAAATTTTCAGCTTTCATATGCATCTTTTTGATCCATTCTATCTATTAAATATTTCAAGAAAATCGATAAATTGTGAAAACACTTAATTTGTCTTTACTTCAATTTAGACTCAAAGTACTGCCAAAATGGCAATCAATGAGACCACAGCAAATATTACAGTTTTAAAAGTAATGACCAAATTAAATATATTTAATATTACTCAGCGCAGCCTTTTTTTAATTTTAACCCTTTCCAGCACAAATTTATTTTAAAAAAAGTTTTATTCATATCTTACTTACGTAAATATCTTTTTTTATTATTCAATATTACCTACTGTTAAAAATCCATCTAGATTCAATTTACATTAGTTGCTTCCAACAGTTTTAATCGTCGAAAGACAAAATTGTATTTAAAAATTAATGATTCCAATTGGAATGCAAATGTATCTGTCACCATCACCGCCCCCACTGGATCGCTGCAGGTCCTACCAGGGGGCGGAAGCGCCCACTTTGGGAATCACTGGGTTAAAGAATGACAAGTTTTCTTGTATGTGTGCATTTTTTCATTTTATTTAATTTCTTATATTCTAAACATATATTAAAAAACGCTAGCTTAGTACGAAAAAGAAGATACATTTATGAATGCGAATGATTATTTCCAAATATAAATCTTTTAAATTCATTCTAACATGCATTGATTTTTGATTTCTTTAAACGCGAATTACAGTCAAATGGATGAAACCACAGTAATGTATGAATACTTGCAGCATTCCCCAAAATTTCCAGCTTTCATATGCATCTTTTTGATCCATTCTATCTATTAAATATTTCAAGAAAATCGATAAAATGAGAAAACACTTAATTTGTCATTACTTCAATTTAGACGAAAAGTACTGCCAAAATGGCAAATAGCCACAGCAATTATTACAGTTTTAAAAGTAATGATCAAATTATAAATATTTCTTAACATTTAACTGAGAGTTAGTGTATCTTCAAATTAAAATATGTATATTTGGTGGCCTACGTTACAAGTTGAAAAAGTTACAATATTCGAATTGAGCGCATAACTTGGCAACCGTTCTACTGAATAAACATTCATCCATCCATATACACTGTGCATGCACATCAAATACAGACTAGATAATTTTTGTTATTCGTTTGTCCAGTTCAAGGCCATGCACCGGCAATAGTTCAAATCGCACCAAAATTTCGGTAATTCGAAATCGCTGTACAGAAATTAACCAAAGGTTTCTGCAATCAAACGTAATCGAATCTGAAACGAGAAGCCCCGGTCAATTTGCCAATAGCATACCGACAGATTACGTTGTACCTTTGGCGCCTTAGATAATAAACGTTGCAGGACAAAATATCTTTTATATTTATAAATACGAACAAAAAAAAAACGGAACTGCGTTGGCAACAATTTTCGAATGCGCTTTCCGTAATCTGATTAGATAAAGGATGTTTAATAATAATAAATATATATATTATATTTATATCAAAATTCTATGCGAAACGTATGATATATATAGAGAGAGAGAGTATCTATGCAGCGTGCATAAATACAGCTCGATTGATTATAAACTAATTAATGCAGCGCACGCGATATTTATATTTTGATCATTTTTCATGCATATGTGGTTTTCCATCTGAAATTTTAGTTTATATTCGGGCATTAAAAGCCCGTATTCATTTCGGAAATGGAATGAGACGAACGCGAATTAATTTTGCCAAAATATTGTTTGTTTACGTTTCGATGTTTACGTTTTTTATTTGCCATCCCCTGTGTTTCATCTTTTTATTTTGTTCGGTTTCGGTTAATATCCTTGTTTATGGTTCATTTTCATTACGCGGTAGCGACGATCAAAGGAAATTACGGTGTAGATGCATAAGCTTTTTTTGTTGGTCACAAGTTGCCCACAAGTTTCGTGTGGAAATAACGCTCCAGATAAGATGGCATTAAAAATAAAAAACGAAATCTAAATTTTTATATTCATTTATTTGTTTATATGTATATATATAATATGTGTTTAAAACAAACACATATATACTGGTGTTGATAACGACTTTCGAAAAGCAGATAAATTTACATTTATAATTGCCGATGGACTTGGACTTTGCGACCGACCGACTTATGCACATTAGAAACAAATCGTGGACAATCCGAATAATCGAATAATAATAATAATCCGGAATGCGCGAATTATGTGAAATTTCCCTAAAATTGTTGTGCGCAAATTATAATCGTGATCTAATTAGCATCTGGATGGATGCTGTAAACAGGAGAGAGCCGTGTTTTGCAGAAAGTTCGGATTATTCTTATTATGTAAATATGCATGAATTGCGTTATTTACTTGCAGCGATTTGCATACGGGCGCGTTTTTGTTTTTTAGGAACACTCTTCTTTTTTTCTTTTTGTCTTTTCATATATTTTTTATTCGTAACAATAGTGTAATAATAAAACGCGCACCTTGTTTGCTTTCAATTCGCAACTGCTGCATGCCCCGTATAAATTAACGCAATTTACTGTATTTTTACAATGTTTCTTTTGTTTTTGGTACATATTTTGGATGTTGTACGTGAATAAAACGGAATGTTTCTAGAATAAACGAAAAATTGACGTTTGCAAGTCATTTTGTAGTTCAAGTAAATAACAAATTTCTTTAGAAATTTTTTTTTTTGTGTTATTTCATGATTGTCAATAAAACATGGATTAATTACTCAAATTGAGACTAACTAGAAATTTTAAATTGTAATGAATTAGATTCTAAGTAGGAAATGTTTCAAAGTTTGATTTATCATTAATATTTTTTAACAAAGTAAAATTCTATTAAATTTACAAATATCGAAAAAAATCTCTTATAATAATTTATTTATCTTCCTGTCATATTAAAATTTTGAAGTATTGTCACTTTTTTTATTTGTTTTTGACAATTAAATTAAAAATTATGAACAATTATACTGACATACATCACTTGTAATTTAAGACATGAATAAATCTGCGTTATATAGCAGCGTTTCTCAACATATAAGTCGCGTAATTTTTTTTGTTGGTAGCACAATGACAGCTGTCACCTTGTGTCAAAGCAAGAAAGTGGTGATATACTCTTAGCAATTTGGTTGCAGTACAACTAAATGTTGATAAATGCTGCCATATAGTAAGAGAAACCTTGTAACTTATACTAAATACAATATAAAGTATTAATATTTTAAAGTATTGTCACTTTTTTCATTAATTTTTGTGAGATTCAAATAAAAAAAAATTGTAATTATACTTATGTACATCAGTTGTAATTTAAGACATAAATAAATCTGTGTTATATAGCAACATATAAGTCGCTTTAAATTTTTAGTTGGTAGCAAAATGACAGCTGTCACCTTGTGTCAAAGCTGATATACTCTTAGCAAGTTGGTTGCAGTACAACTAAATATTGATAAATGCTGCAATATAGTAAGGGAAACTTTGTATCTTATACTAAATATAATATAAAGTATTAATATTTTAAAGTATTGTCACTTTTTTCATTAAGTTTTGTGACATTCAAATAAAAAGATTTTAATTATACATGAGTTGTAATTTAAGAAATGAATAAATGCATTCTAATCTGTTTTATATAGCAGTTTCTCAAAATATAAGTAGCGTTAAATATTTAGTTGGTAGCAAAATGACAGCTGTCACCTTGTGTCAAAGTAAGAGAGTGGTGATATACTCTTAGCAATTTGGTTGCAGTACAACTAAATGTTGAGAAACTTTGCCATATAGTAAAGGAAACCTTGTAACTTATACTAAATATAATATAAAGTATTATTATTTTTGAATGTTATCACTTTTTTTAAATAATTTTTTGATTTTTTTGACATTGAATTAAAAAATTGTAATTATACTTATATACATCAGTTGTAATTTAAGAAATGGATAAATCTGTATTATATAGCAGCGTTTTTCAACATATGGGACGTGTTAACTTATTAATGACAGTTGTCACTTAGTGTCAAAGGTGATATACTCTTAGAAATTTGGTTGCAGTACAACTAAATGTTAAGAAACGCTACTTTACAGTAAGAGAAGCCTTGTAACATATACTAAATATAATAAGAAGAAGGATGATTGGATTTCTGTAATGGAGTTTAATTTCTTAAGAGAGAAACGTTGAAGCGGTGATTCGGTGCGGAGGACAAAGTTTTCGGGGATCTCGAGCGTTGAAACTTATGCTATAACTTTATTTCAATTTCGGACGTAAATGAAGATGTATCACGGATGGAGCCATTACTACCAGCAGCAAGCATCCAAGCGACTTCGGATTGTTTCGCGTGCTTTATCTCTCCGGTTCCAAACCAACCGATGGTTCGCCAATAATTTTTCTTGGGGCGAAAGAAAAGAAGGTTGTTTCCTCAACCTGCTCTTAGTTCTTGAAGAGAGGGCACAGGTAAGATTAACAGGACTCAAATGGGCCGCTTCTCACGATGTGTTAGACCTCGGTAGGGCCGTAATTGCCGTTAGTGTTAGCTGAGGGGGTGGGACTGTAGAGAAAGAGTAGTAGTAGTAGTAGGAGGAGGAGGATGAAGGGCCGGTGTTTGCCTTGCCACCCTATCCTCGCGCCGAATCC